CAAGGGTTGAGTCCCTAGCAGAGTCGCCAGCTGTTGTAACCGGCTTTTAAAATGAGAGTCGACATCCTTAATTTTTATCTTTAGGAAGAGAATATAAAGGATAACCCTAATTTGGTCAGTGATTCTAAGTTGTTTGACTCGTTCTTAGACGAAGGGAATGTGTTAGGCACCCCTTATCTACCCTGTTCACAAGGATACTAGGATTTAGAATTACGGCTTAGGAAATAGGGTTTTAATTTTTTATTAGGGAAACTTGCCACGATTTTAGTCGTATGCCTATGTATCCTCTTATGAGGAATCAGAGCCTCAATTTGTAGTTCGCAGTTGGTTGGTGTTTTTTATGGATTACGAAGATTTTTTTTAATTTTTCGTATACTAAGTCTGTGTGTGAGAATAGCATAGTTGTTAGACGGAGTTCACAATTGATTTAAAAGCGTCCTCATAATCCTTTTGATAAAAATTTAAATTAATTAACTTATTATTAAAAAAAAAGTTTAGTGTTGATTAAGTATTTTTTAAATATATTAATATATATAAAATCTTATTAATGCATGGTCAAAGATGATTTTAATGCAATAAAAATAATTATGAGTTAAGAGAGAAAATATTTAGATTTTATAATGATAGTAAAATAATATTAGAATTTATAAATATATTAAATTATAAAAATAATAATTATAAATAAAAAAAGAAATTAAAAAAAAAACGTAAAGGGTGTATTTTTTGGTGAGCTAGTAAAACAGGGGGTATGGGAAGTAGGGCCCTGAATTCAGATATTGAATTCAGGCCCAAACGCATAGGGGATGAAGAATTGTACATGTCGGTAAAAGTGAGGGGTTTGGTCAGCAAGGGCCTAAGTCCAGATATTGGACTTGGCCCAATAACGCAAGGGGTGAGAGGCACATTAGCATAGGAAAACAAAAAAATAAGGGAGCGTGAATATCATATGCTTAGACCCAAAATAGTTTGTGATCCGTTTAGACAAGGTGTGGGAGAGACCATGAACTCACTATGGACACGCGCTTATGGGACGTTTGATACTGATCTGATGGTTATGATGGGAAGAACGTGGCAAGGTTTCTAGGCGCGCGGACACAAAATCAGGGAGGGATTATATATTCCATTCTTTATCATTTTCCTCATTTTTTTCTCTTTCTGTCTCTCTCTCTATATAATTCTCTCTCTTCACTAAACATCAACCTAGAAAGAGGCTTTGACCTCTCTCTAGAACCTAGACAGGCGGAAATCGCCCTGGCCGCGTCGTCCACCTTCTGCCACCACCAACCACCCTTTTTCCCCAGTTTTCCGGTTGATATTCAATCGGAAACTTCAAACATTTAACCCTCCGCCGTGAATATTCATCTGGGTTCGTAGAACCCTAAGGATTCATAATGAACCCTAACTATCCAAAAACCCAGAACACCCAAAAATGAAAAACCCTAACCCTAATCTTCAACCAACCCTAAGAACCCTAACCCTAGGATCTAAGAACCCTAACCCCAAAATTTCCAGAAACGCAACATTCAAACATAAATCAAGCAAACATCACAACAATGATTAAGAGCCCTAAATCTAAGTTATTCGTGTTACCTCTCCTACTGTGATACAGGTCATATAGTTTTGATTTCCTGAATCCTCTTTATGATCTCTCTCTTCTTCTTCTTCTTTTGCTTGCAGGTACGTTGGATGATAAAGTTATGGTGTTGGTGAACATCACAGATCTAGGGTTTCACATTTGAAACCCAGATCCTGGATGAAGGTGGCTTCGACTGGGGACTAAAGACCCCAAGCCTCATTTTCTTCTTCTTCTTATCAACTAGTTCTTCTCAAATTCTCTTTTTTTTTATAGAATTTTCTTAGGTTCTATTTATAGTTTTAGGTTTTAGACAGATTAGGAAAATGTTTTATGATTATCGTTACTTTTGTAATTGACTTAGGGTAGATTGATTCTGTTAGGAATTAGAAGATTTTATTTGTTGTAATTGATTCTGTTTGTAAAAATTTTGGGCGATTTTGTACAAATTGTTATGTAAAGATATGATTGAAATTGATTTTTATTTGATTTTGTTTTAGCTTTGTATATGTTTCAAGATGCGTTTTTCTTTTCTTTAGATTCATACAGTACATATTTGGGCTTGGGTAATTAGGGTTTCAAAACCCTTACGTTAACTTTGGTCAAAATTAATCAAAACAACAACAATAATAATAATAAGATTTAATAATAAATTAATAATTAACAAATATATAATCAAGTTTAATTAAAAATAATAGTAACAAAAAATAAAAAATAAAATAATATTTAACTAAATATTGTCTTCAGCCAGCCAAAATGGGCTTTCGAAAAATAAATTATGGGCCTTAAAGAAAGCCCCAATAACTTCTTTGAGGAGACCAAATGACCAGACCAATCACACCATCTTCCCTTGCTAAAAATATGTTAACCCTTAATGGACCTTTTTAAAAATATGGTAATGACTTGGCAAGGCCCAACCGATCACCCCCTTGAAATGGATCATTCAGTTTATTAGACCAACATAATAAGTGTTTACTAAAACACGTCCCTCTTATGGGTTTTAACCCCCCCACCCCCTCTCTCTTTTAACTAGGCCAAACAAAATTGTCTTAATGGGCCATCAAATTTTGATGGTCCATTTAAGACAATCCACTCCCCCTATTGGTTTTAAACCCCTCGTATGCTCATTTTTAGAAACAAATTAAACAAAATAATTAGAGATTCAACAACATAATAGTAATGTGATCGTCGAAATTGATAGGACAAATTTAGGGTCTGACGGTTAGTAGGTTCATGAGTAAACCTAAGTGGTCCCATTACTAAGCTGCTGTCAGGATTCTAAGATATATCGAGGAAACTCTAAAGTATGGAGTACTATTTCTTTCTGGAAGTAAGACAGATTCAGAGTTGATGAGTTATTATGATTCTGATTGGTGTGGAGATAGAGTTGATAGAAGAAGTACTTCTGGATACTTATTTAAGTTTCTGGAAGGTTCTATTTCTTGGTGTTCCAAGAAGCAATCTGGTGTTGCACTATCAACGTGTGAAGCTGAGTACATTGCAGGTGTTGTAGCTGAATGTCAAGTTGTTTGACTTCTGAATCTATTGCAGGATCTAAAGATCAAGGTAGAAAAGTCTTTGAAGCTGGTGATTGATAACAAGTCTGCAATCAATTTCGCTAAGAACCAGTACTACATGAGAGAAACAAACACATTGAGACAAAGTATCCCTTTCTGAGAAGTCAATTCTAGAACGGAGTATTAGAAATTATACACTGTAGCACCCAAAAGCAGTTGACAGATGTTCTGACAAAGGCGATCAAGACGGATCAATTTCTCTACTTAAGGGATAGAATTTGTATTGTTAGTTTTATTAAGAAATTCTAAATTAAGGGATAGTATTAAAGGATAATTTAGTATTTTAGTATGTTGTCTATGTGGTCCTAGTTTTCTGTGTATAAATAGACTAGTAGTTGTTGTCTTTTAAAATCAATCTTTTACATATTTGTAACTGTCATTGCAAAATAATAAAATATATATTCTCTCATTCTTTCTGTCATCATTATCTTATAAGATAATACCCTAAAAGCAATTGTGATTTTCGATATTTTTCGTAATAGTACATCTAACTTTTATTTTTTAAGAGGCAAACGAGCAATCATATTAATAAATCAAGTCATAAGGGATGCCCAGATTAAGATTGATACAAACAGAGACAAGTCTTTTGATGAAATTCATAATATTCTCTACACAAAACAATAGACTTTTGAAAGATAGTCTTCTTCTCCACAAACACAAGTAAATCAACACCTTCAACTTTAAAGCACTTTCATCTCTATCTAAAGCAAAGCATTGTCAACCTGTCCTATATACAAAGGATACTAAGGTGTTCCATGATATACATAATGGTTTTCTTTTTATTGATGAAAATGATATAAAGGTTTTGTTACTGTATAGTATTATTGAAGGATATATTATTTAACAGTAATGTACTATTATTTAACACCGACTATTATCTTTTACCGTTGAAATTATTTTTAAATAAAACATTCGTCGCAACAAGAAAATTCATCATCTCACATGACCAATAGTTTCTCTTCGTTTCATTAGTTCGTGCCGTATATCGCCATTGAATAAACCACCCTTCTTCAATATCAGCCGTTTGATCTCTCTCTCTTTTCTTACAAAAATCTTACGTGTTGTCTGTGTTTTAGTTACCACTATAGATTACATTTCCACACCTTTCAATTGCAACGGTCAAACCGTATCAAATATAAATAATAATTTTCACATTAAATGACAAAGAGTATATTAAACTTTTTTTAAATGAAAAAATACATAGATTTAATATATTAAAATTTTAGGTTAATATATAAATTTAAAAATTAATTTTATATAATAAAATTTCATTGATATATATTATTGAAGATAAATTACTTTCAATTTTATAAAGATTAGTTTAAGTTTCAGCTTAATTAATTTATTATTTTGTGATCAACTTCAACTAATTCTAACATCAAATTTTACCAAATGTGTGGGTCCCTTAAATAATTCAAGTGCCACATGGCCTTTATTGAAAAACAGAGTACCATTGATTACTTACATATAATTTTCTCACACGTCACACAGGTTCATAGAGCAATTACTCACTACAGCCTAATACAATGTAGTACTTTGAGGAGGTCCAATCACAGACACAGATCAAAGCGGGTGCATGGTAATGCGAAGCAGAAAACAAAAACGATAAATCTCAGCCGTTGATTAAAGTTGGAACAGGTGGAGTCGCAGCATAAGAAACGTGAGCGTGACTACAAACAAATCGTGTCTCGTTTCTATTCCTTACTCGAAAAATAACAAATCACAATGGATGCGTATGCCATCAAAAATAATTTCTCACACGTGTCGATTTCTTACGTGTCCTTTCTTCAATTCTTCTCCTTTTATCATTTCCTCTCTCTTTCAAACTCAACCACTGCTACTACTGAGTTATGGAGCGTTTCGACGATTCAGAAGCGCAACTCGAACGAGTTGACTCTGATCAGTTAACGTTAACAAGCTCTGGTTCAGGCATTTCGTCTATATTCAGCGCTGACGATTTCCGGAACTTGAACGGTTCCGGTGATGTTTCGTCCATCAGCAGTGGCTCTGGTGAGATTCCGGTATTTACAGTGAATCGAGTGATTCTTGCACCGTCGTTAATCGCTGAGAAGGATTCCGTTCCGGAACAGGTTTTGGTGACGGCGGTGAGAGAGAAGTGCGTCGGAAGGAGCAACAAGGGAGTGAGTTGGGGATATACTTCAGTGATTGGGAGACGGAAGGAAATGGAGGACGCTGTAGCTGTTATTCCGGGACTTTGGTCTCGCAGTTGCGATCACATCGGTGGTTGTACGGCTCCCGGCTCTAGATCCTCCGATGAGATCGGACCGATTCATTTCTTCGGCGTTTATGACGGACATGGCGGCTCTCAGGTAAACACACCTCCTTCTTCCATTTTTGTTTAATAATTATTTCGAAAAACAACCGTTTCTATTTTATTTATTTATTTTTCGTCAATTTTATTTGTTTTCTATATATGTTAATCTGGTTACATTGTGGCGTTATGTGTAAAATTATGTATAATAAGTTATTTGGCTCAAAAGTAGAATAATAAGACCCAACCTTAGTTGTTTCAGTGTTCGCCGAATTAAAGGATTATGATTCAATATATATATATATATATATATATATATATATATATATATATATATATATATATATATATATATATATATATATATATATATATATATATATATATATATATATATATATATTACACTCACAATTATGATTGAGAGTGTGACTGAAACTTCTTGATGCTAGAATTTATCTTTAAATTGGATTATCAGTTAATTAATACTTTAACTGCATATATCTTTAAACTTCTTGAGACTGAATAAATAATAAAACAATAAGTTAATTAATACTGTAACTGCATATATTTAGTACTCCCTCCGGTCTCATTTATAAGAAAAAATTAACTTTTGGACAATATATTGTCCAAATATATTACTTATTTAATGTATCTAAAAAGTTAATTTTTTCTTATAAATGAGACCGGAGGGAGTATGTGTTTAGAATTACAGTATCATTTTTTGTTTATTTGTTTATTTGTTCATTTGATAGTATTAAAATTCTCAATATTTGTTGTTATAATTAAATAAATTTGTGATTGTAATTGTGATGGTTGTTTAATTAAAAGGGGAATGAAGTAGTTGGTGTGTGTTTTCCATGGGAAGGACGCGTGTTATATGTAGAATGGTCCACAAAAAGAGAGATAAATTTATTGTGTTTGGCATTATGGTGACACGTTGTAGATACAGAATGTGTAATACCGGTGTGGGCCTTTTTTTAAAAGCTATAAGCTATAATAGGTCACATGTTTGTTTGTTATTATTTACAAATTTATAATAATGAAAAAAATAAAGAGAAAGAGAAATAGAAATAGAAGAAATATGTTATATCTTCTATCATAATTTTTTTAATGAATTCATGAATTAAAATTATATATTATATAAAAATAGAAGATAAATGGACAATAAACTGCACTAATATTTTTTTTTATGACAAATCTAATTTTCTTAAAAACTACATTCACAAGTCTAGAAGATATAACATATTTCTTCTGTCAGATTATTTACTATTTTTATTTACACATTAAATTTATGAACACAAATTTACTATTTTTATTTACACATTAAATTTATGAACACAAATGTGTGTTAAGAATTCTATATGAGATATATGTATATCGGATATGGATCCCTCCAGTTGTGTCTCTCATGCCCTCCATCCTGCCATAATATCCACCATTGATTTCTCTTTAAGGTGATATTTTAATTTTATATTTTGTCTTCTAAAATCTATTAGCCATTGGATTAAGTGCAGTATAAATGGCAGGACTTATTGGCAGGAGAGGATCCAATTTCATGTATATCGGATATATGGTGAAAATCTGTATTGAATGTGACAGTGATGGTTATTATTATGAATTAATAAAATGTTTTGGTGGGTGTGGTGCTGTTTGCTGCCTGTTGGGGGAGAAAGTTTTGGAGAAAAAAGTTCAGTTACGTGGATGGAATGATGAGCCTTTGTTTATTTTATCATTTACTTTACCTAAAGAAAAGGTATGTTGCTCATATCATGACAAGTGTAAGTAAGTGGGGCCTATGTTTCACTATGAACCTTTCCACCACTTTTGACATGGAAGGGTTGACGAATGTTTGAGGTGTGTCTGCCTGCCCTTTCTGGGAAAAGTTTATTAAACGGTTTAAGGGAGTCAGGATTAAATGAAAAGTTTCATCGGTCAATATTATATCTACTTTCATTTTTGTTACTCCAAAAATTCCTTTTTGCAAGCATCGATCCCCATCACTATTATTATTTAATTTTGTTAAGTTCTCATACGACCACATAAATTTGAGATGCTGCAGGAATAGATTTCATTAATTCATCTTATCGCTCGTGTTTGTCACTACTCATATAAGACTTGGTTGTTGTTTGTGTCTATAATGAAGGTACTACTAAGTTGATAGTAGGTTAATGGCACAACCTCGAACTTATGAGTACCCTTCTTCTAACATTTGTGGTAATTTAATCCTAGGTTGCTAAATTTTGTGCTAAACGGATGCATGACATTATAGCAGAGGAATGGGACCGAGAAATAGCAGGTGCTGCTGAATGGCAGAAAAGATGGGAAGCCGTATTTGCTAATGGCTTTGAGAGGACTGACAGTGAAATCGAATCAGAAGCAGTTGCACAAGAAATGGTTGGATCTACTGCCTCTGTGGTTGTTCTATCTGGTTGTCAAATTATTACATCCAACTGTGGCGACTCAAGGGTGGTTCTTTGCCGCAGGACTCAAACTCTCCCGTTGACAGTAGATCAGAAGGTCTAGTCATAACCCATTTATCTTCTTTGTTGTTCTAAGCATTCTTTAGTTTCCATGTTCTAAACTGCAGTTGATGAGTCTTGATATTGCGGCAAATTAAGACATACACCATAATTGCATTTGTGATGTGGTCACAATTGCATTTGTGATGTGGTCACAATTGCTACTGCACACCCCAATTTAGAATTCATGGATACGAGTGTATATAGGATATGATCTATCTATTCTCAATAATAATAACATGAAAAGATAAAAGCATTTCCATGTACTGCTTTTGAAGTTCTGAGATACTTGTAACCAATGAGAAAGGATCATCAGAAAAGAAAAAGAAAATTATTAAGAGACGTATATAATGCTTACGCGCAGACGTATATTAAAAAAATATGCATTTCCCTTCAATGCGGTTGGTTTTGAGATACCATTGTCCTTGCTTGTACAGCCTGACAGAGAGGACGAACTCTTGAGAATTGAAGGAGAAGGAGGAAAAGTAATAAACTGGAATGGAGCCAGGGTGTTTGGTGTTCTTGCCATGTCCAGGGCCATAGGTACCTTGATTTATCTGATATATTCAGTCTTGGTTGCTAATTTACCAAATGTTTTCTTCGTTTGAGCTAATTTTATATGCCAAAAAGTCTTCTGCTATGAGCTAATAAGGAGGTGCAAAGTGCAAACAGCTTAATATCTAAATAAGTAAATGACTTTTTACAAAGGGTTTTGATCCTGTACACTCTGTGATTTTGATAGCTATCTACACTCTTGTATCTATATCATGGGAATTTCAAAAGTAAGTTTGCCCTTACAAACACAAATATTTTTTCTTTTACCATTTTTTCAATTTTTATGAAGTTATAACTTGCACACAGCTTGTTAGTGTTTAGGCAAGCCTCCTAGGTACTATAGGCATTCAGTGGTTTTGTATAAATGTGTCAATTTTGAAATATATGAATGTATCGAGAAACTTAATTCATAATGACTAAGAAAATATACATATTGCGGGGGTTCCTAAATAAGCTATAACTTTGATTCTAAAGCTAGACATGAAAATTGATTATGAAGTTGTGTGTGCAAGGTCTTAAAATGGATGTTATCTCCTTCTCAATGATTCTTATCACCTTTACTTGTTCCGCAAGCTAGATCACATAAAAAAACCAGTAGCTTCTCGGTGATAAAACCATTTTCTGCCTAAAACTTAGATGGCAAGAGGCTTACCTGCAAAGTTCTTTAACTAGTCTTGTACTAACTACCAAATAATGGTGATATTTCAGGTGATCGGTACTTGAGACCATGGATTATTCCGGTGCCAGAGATAACTTTTACAGCAAGAACTGACGAGGATGAATGTTTAATTTTGGCAAGTGACGGACTTTGGGATGTAATGACGAATGATGAAGTAGGAGAAGTAGCACGCCACATTCTAAGAAGGCGCCGCAGATCCTTGTCAACAGAGGAAATATCCCCAACACAAGTTGTTGCTGATAGACTCACTGAAATTGCGATTAGTAGAAATAGTAAAGATAACATTTCAGTCATAGTTATTGATCTGAAATCAAAGAGAAAACGTCTGCAAAGGCCTCCTTCAATTTCCGAAGAACGCGATTGAATCTCTTCAATAGTTTTCAACCTTTATAAGGCGATGAACTCCCTACAGTTGATCTACATATAAGCAGAAAAAAAATCCTATGTCGTGATGGTTCTCGGATACCATTTTAACAATTGTGCTTCTCTTAAACTGCTGTACAGAGCTGACTGGCAAAATAATCTGTTTCATGACAAGTAACAACTAGCTAGGCATTGTTTGTTACAATGAAGTGCTTATCAATACTTCATTTCATCAGTTCATCAGTTCAGTCCTTGACAGGGGTAAATAGAATGAATTTACCAATTCATTTGTTGAACTTTTAAAAACTAATACTAATGGAATGAAATATGAAATTCTCAAATCTCTTCTTGCTAACTTGAGATCAATTCAATAGGCAAAACCATGACTCAATCTGGTCAGCATTATTTGCTATTTTATTCCTACTTTACATGTCTCTCGACTTCGGCAGCAAAAGTTCATATCAAGATACAATTGCAGTTATTTGTAAGAAAATTTGCATTAACTTAGGAATACAAAAATCAAGTGTAAAAAACTAAATAATAAGTTAGAACCGTTTGAGGAATGACAAATTTTCATATTCTAGCAATCACTCATCACTTCCATCATCCTCCTGAGGTTGAAGAATGCATTTTCCACCAATAAGAAAGTTAAAAACTTGCCTCAAATTTCCTCTGGATGGTCGAGCATTTGTTGCAAATTTACAGACAAATACGAGCCATCGCCTCAAATCCCATTTAGTAACATGTGTTGTATCGAAGGAGTCCCCACCATCAAAAGTGCCTATAAATAGCCATGATACATATATAAATATATACAAAGCATCAACCTATAGATATAATGATTGATGGATACTGAAATGCATTGATTCAACATTATATGAGAAATGGGCTTTATGATTAACATTTTGTAACAATATGAAAGCTATATAGATATGTACCTTTTTCATCAAATAATGACATCAAAATTGCTAAACAAACACATACACTTATATCTTCCCCTGAAAAGCAAAGAAAAACAGGTTATTTAAAATGCATAAAATATTTACATAGGTTCAGCGAAAGGATTAAGGACAAGCTCAACAGAAGCTATACCATTACTACAACAGACCAGAAGTCGTTTTCCTTGGCAAAGGTTGAACTTCGCGAAGCTTACGGCTTTAGAAAGATTGTTTAATAAGGAAAACCGATCAAACTTTGAACTCTGGTCAAGAAAAACTAAAATGAGTTGAAAAATTTAAACAGCAACAACAACAAGAGATTTTATTTCCACTTCATACTAACCACCATTGGAAGATGTAGATACGTATCAGCACTGGGAAGAGAAACCGAGATGGACTCACTATCACAATTCAATATGCAATCAACATCAGCTACATCTTTAACTGCACCAAACACGAACACTCAGCCGCATAAACATTGTAAAATATTTAACTACTTAATCATGTTGCTGATCCCAAGTAGATTGGATAACAAGACAACAAACTATATAGTATATACTATAAGTCAGTATACCGAATTGGGATGCACCAACGGCCAGATTAGTTGAACCCAACCAAGAAACTTCAAAATCTTCAGAAGACTCGTTGGCATTGGCCTCAATTTCAATATTTGAAACATCAGAAGCCAGTGATGGTTCTTGACGTGAAAGTGATTTGACTCTAATCTGAGGAGCATTCTCTCCTCTATAAGCACGACGCACTCTACTCTTTTCAACTATGTCAGCAACCTTCTGATTACATATTTCAGGACCTGAATTTATAAGATCATAAACATGATTCCAAAAGAGAGGCGGAGTTAAACCCCTAGACCAACTTTCTTCATCGTCTCCGGCACCAGGTATATAATTCCAGCTAAACTCGGAAGTAGTCCTATTGTGTTGGCTTACTCCGTTCGACGAAGAAGAAGCAGAGACAAGTATGACGGGAGTGAAATCCCAAGAATCGTGATGAGGAACTTCGTTTAACCAGATGACAGTTTTCTGAGAAATCCAAAGCGGACGTAAAGGTTTCTTCAAGGTAACAGCAAGAGAAGCAATGTCAGCTCCACTTGCTTTCAATTGTTCAGTCCATTCCTCTAAGTGCTCCTCAATGGAAGCCTTTTCTGTTTGTGGAACCCAAAGAGGAAGATGCAAAGAGCAATCCCAATCTCTTGCAACCTCACCACATCCATTACAATCCTCCTGTTCCATGAATTGAATGCAACAATATAATTACAAAGAGATAATAATATAAACCACCAAGGTTTTAAAAAACGATCCGTTACTGCCACGACAAAACGGTATCAGAAGTCGATAATGTTATTCATCATTTTTATGATAAAGAAGAAAGTGTGGTTAATTCACACTGCAAGGATCGTAATCAGTGTCGCAACACAGCACTTGTAGCGACCGAAATCACGAAAGCCTTTAAGACTGCAACCGTTATTTAAAACCTTGCACACAACCATTCAAACTAGAATATTGAAATAAGCATGATTATCACACTCACTTGTGGCAATGCAGCATCATTCTCATGAATGTTAGAGTCTGTTCTAAATTGAGAAATTGCACGGTTAAGAACACAAGTCCAAATAGGTATAGTTTTCGACATACTATCAGGGAAACGTTTTCCTCTTCTAGTAGAATCAACAATCATGCAACCACCTTTCTGCGCTACCCAATTGAACAAAACAATAAAAAATAAAAGAAAACCAATCTTTGAGCCTTAAACAAAAGAGTACAAAAAGAAAACAAGATTGTTGTTGAATAATGAATAGTACCTGCAAGATGAGCGACATGGAGGTTGAGACGAGAAGTTGAAAAAGAACAGTTGTTGGTGTGACCATCGGTGGATTTGAAGTAACATGTTGAATGAAAATTCGAAGAGTACCATAAACCACAACGGAGATTTGCGAGAAGAGGGACTTGAGGCCATAATTGAGAGATTTCAGAAACGAAAACTGAGTCTTGGTAGATAGATCTGAGTGCGTTGTATAAACTGTTGTCTCTTTTTTTTATACTTCTTGCTGCTTTGTATATGCTCAGCTTCGACCATTCACCTTCTTCTACCTCCATTGATCTCTCTCCCTCTCTCTCTCTCTCTCTAGAAAGCTTGGTTTGGTGTTGATACGAATCATGCGCCGTCAGAATGACACACACGAGGAGAACAAGACCTAGGATGGTTTTCGAAAATACAACGTTGTTCAGTTAAAAAAACATGTCCAATACTTATAGTTGAAACATAGATTTTCCACAGTTAAAAAAGTCAGAGATAGTAATAGTACTAGAAACAAAGATCATGTAGGTAAAAAAAATTATGTAATTGATAAATATAACTCCCTTTTAAAAATCATTACTTGTAACTTTTTTATTTAAAAAAACTAATTTTAATTCAAGTGTTATTGTTTTGTTTTAGTCTATATAAATTTTATTTATATTAAAATTGATCTACGTGATTAATAAAATATTTGATTTTAAATTTTAATATTTGTCACATAACATCCATATTTGTTGGATAACACCCCTATTTCACATAATATCCATACAAATTTTTTTTATTTTGACAACAAATTTCATCACATTAATTTTCTTCATTTTCACTAAAACATAATATTTATATATTTTATTTTTAACAAAAAAATTTGAAAAATATTGTGATTGTTATGAGTTCAACTCCTAACTTTTACAATTTATTTATTTTATGAAATTTAAGTCTCAGGTTGGATCAATCTTATACATCATTAATCATTTAACTCTTAGGGTATGTTTGATTGATGGAATGAAATGAGATATAATAGATTAGACTTAAATTTCGTTGATTGGATTGATTAAAAATTAATGGAATTGAGCTGAATCTGATGGAAAGCATTTCATCATTTTTGTATCATCCGATTTGAGCGGAGTAATAAAATTACTTTGTTTCGTCATGAAATACCCAAACAATAGAATGATATCTTTATTCCATTTTATTCTGCTATACTTCATTCGACTCTGTTCGCTCCGTTCGTTTAATTGTACCCAAACATAGCCTTAAAGGCATCAGACCTCACACTTAGGTTGTGACCACCATATTTTCCAAACATTAGCTAAGCCTCAATGGCTTTAATGAACTTCACATTATGAGGACTTTGAGCAGCATAGTTTAGCTCCCTTACTGGTCAGTGTTAGGGAGTTGTAGATTGTTATAAACTTCCATATATATACTCGTCCCTTGTCATACAAAACCTTTTCCCCATCACTAATTAGAAAGATCCAATACACTAGAACACACCCCCATTCATCAAGGCCGATACAAAATTGATGAGTTCTCACCACTGCCAAATAAGCGAGACAAAGATCAAGGCATTGGAATTATCGAACACTGACTGATGAGACAGTTCCCGCAACTAGACCACCGCTGACAAGCTAACTCTGCAAAAATCTTCTGATACATCCCCTCTCTGGTTTCAAAATGTTAATGCAGCCACTGCCACGCCATCCACCACCTCTACAGTTGCTACTCAGATTGCTGGAAAATGTGAGAGAGGTTTTTCTACTCAGCCAAAATACAGTTGATATGATACAAAACTTCAGCCATTAAAACAGATAAGATAGAACAACATACTTGAATAGCTATTGGAATACAATCAAGCCCATGCAGCCACAATGCACATCCACATAAACTCTACATGCTCAGTGCTCATAATTTTTAGTCTGGCTGCATATTTATTTAGATATTGAATTGTAGTTGCCACCACCATGAGCAACAAATCGCGAGAATTAACGGCAAATGCACCAGACCATGCGCACCCGGTAGCTAGAGGTACCAACAGCATGTTGGAAAAAAAACAAACATAGAAAAAAAAAAAGAACACAATAACAATACAGGAGAATAACGTGAAAACTCTAATAACCTTATTAATAATAGATAATTGAGTAGTTATATGAATTGAAATACAATAAATAAGAGTAAGTAAAAAGAAATAATAAATATCACATTAGTATCTTAAAGGGACAAATAATTTAAGACAAATAAAAATAAAAAAGAAGACACATTGTGAGACGGAGTCTCCTTTCCACATTTCTTAAGGGTCATTACAAAGGTTATGATTAGATGAATCGTGTGCCATCTTTTATTTTTATATAAAGATTCATCGTAGATCTAAGATTCATCCACACTTTATCATAACCTAAAAACCATAAGATTTTATTCATAGCACATTGTTAGAAATTCCTTCATATACATAGTGGACATTCATTCACATTTGTTTCCTATCATCACCATGCCATTAATCAAAAGAAGGTTCCACCAAATAAAATGCATGTAAGTTTGATAACGGAGATATGTCTAGACAAGATAAAAATCCTTTGAATGCAAGCCACTCGGTAGTTTTTTGGTATCATGCTAGATCAAGATAAGTTTTACGAAACTACTGCAAGCAGTTGTCTTCGTTTTGTAGATATGTCTAGACAAGAAATTTCATCTTACTAATAACCGTTGCCCCACAAAAGTTGTGAACAAATGGACACTCAAGTATACCCCCCTAAAGGGAACCATAAAAAGTTTGATATTTCATCCATAAACTTAAATAGTCTTTTACATTCATGTCTACAACACAAAAATTGTTCAATAGTGAAACACAAGAAGCCAACAACTAATTCATTAAATCATAGTCATCCAACTTGTCATTGTACTGAAGCACCTTTCTCTTTATCTTAGACGAATCCACCCATGTAACAAAGTCTTCCTGGTTTCTAGTTACAAGGAAAGCTGGGTCTGTAACTGTATTTGGTCCAACCCGAACATGCCCCTGCTCAATATACGTTACAGCTTCTTTCAAATGTTCCGCAAATTTTAGTCTAACCAAAACAGTTGAGAGCCTCCGTCTGCACAATAGTTAACATAATTTGAAGCAAATGAGAACAATGTAAAATTGTACTAACAAATCAACTAATTTTTGTTACTTATTGCATAAGACTAGCATGGACAAGAGGAACAATAAAATTCCTGAAATTCCTCATTTGATACTTCACGCAAGTTCATAACCATAGATGCTTTTCAGATTTCTAGATTTTGTTTATTACTTGTCTTATTTAACTAGCCTGACTTCACTTGTTTGACCACAACAAAATTTAGAATGATAGGTTTATCAACAGAATAATTCAATCAGCTAAGTATTATTCCAAACCCAATTGAAACTCCATGAGATAAGGTGTGTTTAAGTCCCTTACCACTCTGAACAACCACATATTGGCAAAATCCAAGGCCTTTTGTTGTTTTTCATATGATAATACACTCTAATGAGCTAACGAGTAAAGTTCATAACAAAATTTTCATTTAAATCATTAAAAGCAGTAATGCGTTCCTTTTACCTGCAGAAGGATGACACAGTTAAGCCTTCACATAGTGTGATGCTTTGCCTGGTTGGAATCACACCCATGTTGTAACTGTCATAAAAAATAAAAGAGTGAGTTAATGAAACAGATATGTGTAAACTGTAACTGACTCAACATTTATGTTTTCCTTCTTTGTTTCAAACTAATACCAACTACCAAGAATGAAGAAACAAAAGGAGTTGTCACTAAAATAGGTCAATCATCGCACTCGAAATGGTAGGTCTAACTCATACTTCTCGGCACTAAGCTACATCCATGTAGTTATGAACTATCCTGGACAAACATTTAAGCTATCTAACAGTCATGAACTCATGGTCATCGTGATGAGAGAACCAAAGGGCTATGAAGCACGGAAACCGTTTCAATTATGTCTAACAAAACCATATAAGCCACAAAACTTTGGGTCCACTAGAAAAAAATGGCTAAATCACTAAAATCCAACGCAATGAATTAAACAACTTAGAATTCAAAACCAAAATCACCATATTCAGAAAAAATGAAAAACAACAATCAAATCATGAAGAACATTACAACCGAATCATAAAAATAAAATAAAAAAACAATTGAAAAAGGCTGAGCAACAAGAGAATGAATGCTTCGCACCTTATGAAACGAAAGGTTACCGGAAAAATTACTGGCGAGAGTCTTAACTCTATCGATGGACTTACCAGAAAAATTATCGAGGTTATCAACAACAATGACTTTGTAACCGGCAAGAAGAAGCTGGAGAACAGTGTGGGTGCCGATACAACTGGCACCGCCGGTAACAAGAATGGTTTTGTTAGACAAAGGGCCATTGCAATCAGGCCACCTATTTTTAGAGGTGCCGGATTGCAATCAGACCACCTATATTTATTACATTTTATCTGATTACCCGTAGTTGCTGCTTATACTTACATAGAACCACCCCACAATTTAAATACATTACTTGCAACTAAACTTGTAATTGAATTTAAGAAAACCAAAGCTCCATAGTATATGCACCAATCCAATCCAGTTCAAACAATAATATCATATACTATCTTTTAAACATGTAACTTCAAAAAGTGAACTTACAGTCTTTCCAAAAGGTTATCAGTCATGTTAACTCGAAAGGAATCCTTGGCGTCGATCTGTTTCACTGCGCTCACCAACTTCTGAATCATCCGTGTTAAACTTGCATACCTGTTCATATTTCCACAATCAGCTAAAAACCAAATCAAAACAAAGAAAATTACCAAATGCCAGAACAATTATGATAATACTTTTTATAATCGTCTCGTTGAGTAATATGGTAGCGCTGCATAACCATATTCTCTCTGTGACCCTCTTCTCTCTTCCATTCCAAAAAATTCACCCTCCTCAAAAGCTTATTCTCATGATACTTTAGCTTCCTCATTGTTATTCACTGTCAAAACAAAGGATCAATTTCACGAAAACAAAAACCAAGTTTTTTCGGAAAAGCGTAAGATTAAACGAAAAGGAAGAACTGAAACTTTGAGATTAGAATAGAGCTTGGAAGCGATTGAAATGGAAGAAGAGAATGAGAAAGAGAACGTACCTTAGAGGGATGACGGTGGCGGAACAAGCTCGACTAGGGTTTAATGGGGGGTTTTGATTTTAAACAATAGAGGAACATGAACGATAAAATTTGGGGTTTTGTTCATGGTTTATTAAACAAACCAAACTGGACCAAGTTTATGGTTCGGTCCAGTTCTTAAACCTGTTTCAGTGAAAAATCGGTTATTTTTGAAAAACCGGTCCAAACTCAGTTTGAGTACAGTTCAGGACCAGTTTTCAATAAAAGGTATTGTTTTTTTTTTTTTTGAAATATCAAAGGAAAATGGTATAAAAGTGGAGAACAAATTAGCCTCAAATATTACGAGAAGTTAAAAAAATATATATTTAATATATTCTTTACAAAATTCTTCTTGATATCAATAGGAATGGAGTAAAAAATAATGGTAGAGCTAATGCGGAGTGCGAAATTTGTTAAAAAATTGACACAAGAATTATCTTCTCTGTAAATGTGAGTGATGACAATATGAGAAAATCTATACTCATGAAGACAAAACTGTCATCTATTTCTAAAAATTAAATATAAAAGGGATTGATTCAACGCATGTTAAAGTTTGTGAAACCAGATTGCAATATGGGAGATTCAAATATGTGCGATTTTGGAGTTACTATGTCAAACAAGCACATAGACAACGCTTTTTTTTGTCATAGACAGCGCTTATAAGCGCTGTCTATTCTTGCGCTGCTGTAACCATAAGCAACGCTTTTAGTCTATGTGAAAGTGTTGTTTAATGTAGACCTTAGACAACACTTTATTGAATAAGCACTTTCTAAAGGCCCTTATAGGCAGTGCTTTTAACAATGTAAGCGCTTTCTATAGTGTGCCTATAGTAGCGCTTTTACTTTAGACAGTGTTTCCTCAGGCGTTGTCTAAAGTAAAAGTGTTGCTATAGGCACACTATAGAAAAACCGTTGTCTAATGTGTTTTTTTTCTTTTTTTTTTATATTTTAGGCAGTGCTTTATTTTGAAGCGCTGTCTAAAGTTCCTTTTTAGGCAGCGCTTTTCACAAGCGCTTTCTATTCCCCATAATAGGCAGCGCTTTGGGTTTAAAGCGTTGTCTAATGTTCACTAGTTTTTTAATATATTCAGGTTATATTTTAAGCGTCTTGTACACATAATCACTTAAAATTTAAGCGTTATCTTTCAATTTTGCACCAGAATTTATAAATGTGAAGCTTCAATCTAATAAATATGCACCAAATTTACATATTTATATATACAACTTTAATCTAACAATTTATATATACATAAATACAACTTAAAAAATTCAATAATTTATATAAACATGAATTTAAATTTTTACATATACAGCTTTATAAACAAATAAATATGCACCAAATGTACATATTGTTATCTTCTAGAGTTGCTATATTCTCTACTATCTTCTCTACAAACAACAACAATGAATCTATATATCTTCTACATATGCACCTACCTGAAACAAAACCAACAAAGGCATATATATCATAACCAAGCTATATATATATATATATATATATATATATATATATATATATATATATATATATATATATATATATATATATATATATATATATATATATATATATATATATATATATATATATATATATATATATATATATATATATATATATATATATATATATATATATATATATATATATATATATATATATATATATATATATATATACACACTTAAAAATTAATGTAAAAAAAAACAAATCAAGAATCCGTTATAACCCACAATTAAAAATTCTCTGATTCATACCATACAAACAAAATTTTGTTTGAATTTAAATCCAATACTGTAACGCCCGTAATTTAATTAATTATTTAATTAAATTATTTTTGGAATATTTGTGAAGATGGGTTATAGTTAATTGGATTTATTTTATTAAGTGGAGAAATAATATTAGAGGTATTATATTATTATGTGGTGAAATAATATTAGAAGTGTAATATTATTTAATATGGCCTTATTTTGAGAGAGTAGAAGTAATAAGGGGTGTAGGTTTTGAGCCCAATATAAAATAAGGAATAATAGAATAATAGGGTTATATTATTATTTGTGAGAAGGAATAGAAGAAAGAACAATAGAAGGAAATAAGGATTTGAGAAGAACGTGAAGCTGCTGGAAAAAGTGGAAAACGACAAGAACAAGAATTTAACCTGGTAATTGTAGAGTGACCTTCAATCCAAGATAAGGGTGGGGTTCTGACTTTATAATTGGGTTTATGATGTTTGATATGTGGGGTTAGAGGTGAGTGTTGTTTTGTTCTTGAATTGGATGTATATGATGGTGTGTGATGAAGATTTGATGAATTTAGATGAATAATGATGTCATGATATTGTTTAATCGATGTAGTATTATAGGTTAATGTTAGGTGATGAATTACCATGATTATAATAAGGTTTGTAGGACTGTAATGGGATTCCCGTAGTGAAAATACAGAGGAAAACACAGAATTATGCAGGAAGGGTCAGTATGTGTCGACCTCAAACTGGATGAGTCGATACATGGACGATGTTAGACTCAGGATGAGTCGACACGAAAGAGGCTTGCATCGATACATGAGAGTTGCAAGACTCAGGATGAGTTGATCGGTGAGATGCATGTGTCGATACATGCTGTGTTTGAGACCAGGATGAGTCGATCCATAAGGAGGATGTGTCAACTTATGTTGTGCAGATGAAGCAGTATGCGTCGATCCCAAGGGTTATGCATCGACCCGTGATGTCTGATTTTTGACAAATTCAGTTTTAAATTGTTGTAACTTGAGTTTTAGGATGCTGTTTGAGATGTCGTTCGAAGCATTGATTAGTTAACGCGATGAACTTTATTCTAGAGGATTAAAATGATGAATAAGAAGTATAATCATAGTAGCCAATTTAGGATTTAGAATTATTCCCCGTGTTGGTCGTTGTGTTGATTTTTAAACAGAATGATGAATAGGAGATGTTTAGAGGCTGCTGTTAGAATTATGACAGTAGGATTAGTGACATTAATGATGTAAAATTGCAGAATAACAGTATGGAGTATTGTAGTATTAATATACAGTTGAGTTATTAGTGAGATGTTATTAATAAAGTTGTGTTTGATAATTATGATGAACAAATGACGTTTGATAAATAAATTATGTTTAATAAATTATTTTGATGATATGAGATGTTGATGACGAGACATTGAGATGTTTTTGAGATGTTTATGAGATGTTGTTAATTGAGATGTTTATGAGATGTTGTTGATTTGAGCTGTTGTTAATTGAGATGTTTATGAGATATTGTTGATTTGAGATGTTGTTAATTGAGATGTTTATGAGATATTGTTGATTTGAGATGTCGTTGACTTGGGTGTTATTATTACATTCATGGTTGTGTCGCATACATTGCATTTTTTTGAGATGGAGCTTTTGCTCGTTGAGATGGCCTGGATTGGCAAATTTTGAGATGAAGGCTATGCCTTGTTGATGCCTTTATTAATTGGCAAATTTTTGAGATGGGAGTTCTGCTCCAATGGCACCACATACATTTGCATATTATTGAGTCGCATTATAAGAGTGAATGATAAAGTGTATTTTGATGTTGATGAATGTGTATATATGTTGTGATTGTTGTTGATTATGAGATGAGAAGTGGTGATGTTATTGATCTAATTTAATATATTAATTATCATGCGCTTTATTATATTGTTAGATATCTCACCCCTTCTGTTTGAATGTTGCCCTTATGTTGGTAACGTGAAGGTAATCGAGAGTGAAGGTTGTATACCTTCAGTAGTTCGAGTCGGTGTCATTGCTCTGATATGTAACACTCGGGGGGATGAATGTTTGCTGATTTTTTATTGTTGATTTTTAGTTATTGAATTTTAAATTGATTATTACTAAATATGAGATGTTTCGTAATTGCTGTTTTGTTTAAAGATGTTATTGAAGAATTCCGCTGCGTGGATGTTAAATTATTTTATTAAAGATGTTATGATGATGGTTCTTCCGATGTTTTGAAAGTGTTATATATCCACGATGAATGCAATGAATTTTGTTATAAGAATTTGTGACGTCCCGACTCATTTGTATGATTGAAATTTTATAACTCTGATTTATTTTGCATAATTGCTTGGGGTAGAATTGAGGTGTTACAAATACCATCCTAACTAACCTTCCACATAACAACAACAATATTGCAACAATTTACCACACTATGACGACATAGTATCTCATTAACTCAAACTTATATACACTCAAAATTCTCATCAATGAAAGTGTCACAATACCTTATAAAATTCTCATCTCAATAATGTATTGACATCAATCCTCCTTAATTTCGTCCAGATGATCTTTCGAATAAGTAGAACACTTGTATTCATCAAAGTATTATATAATATGATTTAGTTAAAACTAATTAATTAGATGAAATGTGTTAAATATATTAGAATAAATCTTAAGTTAGAAACGCATACCATGGATGGAATCTCTATGTGATTCAAAAGAATAATACCGCAGGCAGTCTTGTGAGTTTAGTGCAACCTTTATACAACAGTTTCTCTGTACCGCTTACCAACCTCTCAAACTTTTTGGGACAATCCTGAAGATCTTCTTCAAGTGCTTCTGTAATCTCTTCGACTCGATCACAATCGTATGTATCTATGTAATTTTTGTCTGAAGCATATGTCATACTATCCCCCGGTTCAACATTCTTATAACTTTCCTCACCATGGAATATCCAACATGTGTAACTTCGATCAATTCCATGCCTCAATAAATACGATTGCAACCCAACTGTGTCAACCCGACCCACAAAATAACAACTTAAGCAAGGACATTTCATTCGATTGG